GCTTGCGTGTTCTCGATTTTATGTTCCTCTTCCTCGCTCTCGCGCGCGCGTCTGGTCAAATGTGCCTGTTCCTCACGGTGGTTCACATTCCTGTGCTGTTAGTGCCGTAGTCTCTCGCTCCGCTAAGGGATTTGTGGTCTCTAGCAAAAAATGTCTAGCTTTAGCCAGTGCTCTACTTTTTTGGGGGAGGGGGGGTTTGGGGTGGTCTGGTGGCGATTCGTACAGGAAATCACTGCGATGCAGCTGATTTTGCGGGTTTTGTTGACCAGAAACAGTGGCTTTTGCATATGTTCAACCGATTTGGTATGCGGCAGAGAAATTATGTGGCCATCGCTCGATCTACTGCCTGCTTTCCGTGTTATGGCTAAAGCGCATACCGAAATCATGTTCTAAAGTGCTACTTGTTTTGTGCTCAGTTTGTTGTTTTTAGAGGATACATTTTTATGTTGTTTTAATCCTGATTGCAGACAATTAGCTACATGGCTGAGCGGGTGGTAGGAACTGGTTCATTTGGGATTGTCTTCCAGGTACGTTCCCTTTGTCTCGTGGTTTGCTTTTGCTTTATGTGCCATTGCCAATTAGTTGATGCAATGCTTATCAAATTCAACTGCTTCTCACATGTAGGCTAAGTGCTTGGAGACTGGAGAGACTGTGGCCATCAAGAAGGTGCTGCAGGATCGCCGTTACAAGAACCGTGAGCTGCAGCTTATGCGCTCCATGGACCACCCCAATGTCGTCTCTCTGAAGCACTGCTTCTTCTCGACCACAAGCAGGGATGAGCTGTTCCTGAACCTTGTCATGGAGTATGTCCCTGAGACTCTATACCGTGTGCTCAAGCACTACAGCAATGCCAACCAGCGGATGCCGCTTATCTATGTCAAGCTTTACATGTATCAGGTCCGTGAACCATCATATTGCACTTGCCTGGCCGCCTATAACTGCCTTATTACTCTGCTAATGTATCTTTTGCCTTTTTTATTTACAGCTTTTTAGAGGGCTAGCTTATGTTCATACTGTTCCAGGAGTTTGCCACAGGGATGTGAAACCACAAAATGTTTTGGTATGTGTTGTGTGAACACGATCTTGTTACTTGTACGATTTTATAGTTGGTCCTGAATTGGTCGCTTCTCTTGCCAATACAGGTTGATCCTCTAACCCATCAAGTCAAGATATGTGACTTTGGAAGTGCAAAAGTTCTGGTAAGTTGATTTCCCCCTTAAGAATCAGTAGTTTATTTCAGTGTTGCATTTAGTTTTGAATTGCTCTAGACATCTAGTGTCTGACCGGTCATACTGTTGACATAGCATGTGATCTATCCCATTATTTATCATTATCAAGAGTAGTATGCTAGTTTTTTCCGTAATAACGTGTAAGATGTTGAGTCTTGCGAGTATGCCCTGAGCTTTGAAATCACAGCTTAAAGTTGGCTTTAATATAACAGTGGAACTGGACAAGTGGACATTTTTTCCCATACTTGACAGTCCATTTTCATGATTGATCCATTGTATAATTGGTGTCTGACTATCTACTTTAAACTTGTTTTCCGAATTGGGTTCATTACACACTGTTATCTGTATGCTGTCCGCTTTATTCATTACTCCAACTGCCCTGTAGGCGACACAATGTACATAAACTGTATCTTTTATCTTGGTGCAAGGTTGCCAAGCCTGACCTTGGTTGTAGAAAAACTTGAGTCAGTTTTTTTCTTCAATTTGGTTGTTTCCACACTCTCTAGCTCTAACCCCATGTATTGACCATTGCCCTCTTGTTTTTTCAGGTACCTGGTGAACCCAATATAGCATACATATGCTCTCGCTACTATCGTGCTCCTGAGCTCATATTTGGCGCAACTGAATATACAACTTCAATAGACATATGGTCAGCTGGATGTGTTCTTGCAGAGCTACTTCTTGGTCAGGTTAGTTACCTTCTCTAAGGGGCTTTGGCCTTGTTTGGGACTTTGGGTACATTGATTAGACTATATTGTCCATGAGGTGATTCTGATCATCCTGTGTGTTGTGTATTTGTCAGCCTCTGTTTCCAGGAGAGACTGCGGTTGATCAGCTAGTGGAGATTATCAAGGTACTGCCTGATGCTTCACATGCAACATTGTCTTCTTGAGTTCTTCTGCTATGGGTGTTTTTTAAAGCCATGTGATATAATTGCAGGTTCTTGGTACTCCAACCCGTGAGGAAATTCGGTGCATGAACCCCAACTATACTGAGTTCAGGTTTCCTCAGATTAAGGCTCATCCTTGGCACAAGGTAGACATACGTTAAGTTTTATGTTGAATCAACTGCATCATCTCGTTATACTTGCATGGTATTAAGTCCACATCTTCTTGCATATCAATTTGTTACCAGCTTCTTTCTCTACACCATCAATAAATTATGAATTAAAAATGTGCCTGCGGCTAATGGGTTGCTCTACTTTCCTTTCCCTAGATTTTCCACAAGAGAATGCCCGCTGAAGCTATAGATCTTGCCTCCCGCCTTCTCCAGTATTCACCAAACCTACGTTGCACTGCTGTAAGTTTTTCCGTGCTTGGCTTTGTGATTGCTCTTAAAGGTTGTGCTAAGTGGCTGGGTGGATAAATACTAAATGAGGTGTACTAAAGTTATTTTACCTCTTGCGTTTTTTTTGTGTGTGATACTAGTACATGGTTTTGTCTTTTCTAACATTCATATCTGAAATGCTGTATTACAGTTAATTATTCTTTTTGTGAAAGGTAGAGGAATATATGTGCAATTATTTAATCATTAACGATAAAAGGAGGCTCTTCTGCACCTTCGTGGAAGTAGGATTATTTTTTGGAGTTTTTGGAAGCATCAATGCTTAGCTTTCAGTCACTGATTAGCTTCTGGTCCTGCGTTGGCATTATAATTATGATATCCTGTGGTCCAGAACTAATGTTGATGAGTCTTGACTGATAGATAGTGGGTGCAACTTTATAGTCACATGTGCTTGTTAACTACAGCTAGTGCTCCACCTAGAAAAGGGTCTATGTTAATGCTGTTACTTTAGCTTGAAAACAACGTAATCTTTAAAAACTAGCAATCTGTTCAGTTTAAAACGTTCTTATATGTTTGTTTTCCTGTGCAGCTTGATGCATGTGCACATTCCTTCTTTGATGAGCTACGTGAGCCGAATGCACGCTTGCCGAATGGCCGCCCATTCCCTCCTCTGTTCAACTTCAAACCTGAAGTAAGTAAAAAGATACACCGTTCAAGCAGCCACCATTTAAGTTGTAGAAAAAAAGATGACTGATTTCAGGCACATGATCAGTTCAATAATTAGGAAGGCAACAGCATGTCCTTGCTATCCTGGAAAGATCCCTCTTGGGCTCTTGATGCACTGTGCTCATCAATGTTCTTTTCTGGCAATGCAGCTAGCGAATGCCTCTCCAGAGCTCATCAACAGGCTTGTTCCGGAACATGTTCGACGGCAAAATGGCCTCAACTTCGCCCATGCTGGGAGCTAGATGGGCGCGCCGCATTGCCCATATTTTTTGTTTGTCCGCCATCATCGAAGAATCAGCTCTCCTAAATCCTGAGGAGAGACCGATCCAGTGCCAGTGCCAGTGCCAGTGAAAGAAGTACAACTATGTAAATTACCTGACCTTGGAAGAATCGTTGTTGTTGTTGCCGGTGCCGCCCATGTTTAAGTACATGGCGGCGCATGTTGGTTGAGTTGTTACTTATTATTAGTAGGTAAGAGCAATGATGTAGGAGGTGGAGACATATGTTAATGCTAGGTCTGTGACCTGTTTTAAGTACATTTTTGTAATGCTTGGTAGTGGTACTGTAATGCGGCAGTAGCTGCTCCATGTTTTGTCCCTTGTCCCTGATGTAAATGTCGTCGTCCTGCAGCAAATGACTCTTCTTCTCTTACATGGCCTGATTACCTGTTGTGACGCATGGTTTTCGGCAAGTCGGGAATTGTGCACCGGCCACCTGGGGTGCCTTTGGTTGCCCAAGGTGACTGTTGCCCCTTGAGGCCGATCATCACCCCCTTCCAAGGCCATGTACATCCTACCGGAGAGGTTAGCTGCTAAAATTGACACGCTGGAGGCAACGCAATCGGTGGACACGTTCTATGGTAGGGAACTGACAAGACCACCGGTGCAAAATGGGAAGTCAATTGGGATACGACAAGTTTGTGAAGGCCCTTAGGTTGAGATGGTCTTCTATCACAGGAAGGAACCAACAACCGGTAATCCTTGCGATGAGTTGGACCTCGACTTATTCTATGCTTCAAACATCATCACCATTGACAACGGCGCGTGAGCCCCTTTTTTGGACTCCCTTATGGAAAGAAGCCAAAGAAGTTTCACAAGGAAGAAGTGGAAGGTGTGAAGCTTTGAAGGATGATGCGTGGATTTTCTGGATCAAAATCTCCACCAACCCTACCGTGGCTCATATCCTGGAATACATAGTCCTTTGGGCGCTCATCAATGACTTGGTGAAAATGTCGAGGAAGACATTAGTTGGAAGCGTACGGCCATCGGGCACTATTCGGCAGCCTCTGTATATAAGGTGCAAGGGAATTCGGCAGCCTCTGTACATAAGGTGCAAGGGAACCACGCAGGCCGATATGAAGCACTTGGCGTGGAGGGCTTGGGCACTGCCCTAAGGTCAAGTTATTTGCTTGGTTCATGATCCAAAGTATAATTTGAGCTGCCGACAGAATTGGCTAATTATGGGTGGCAAAATTGGCATTTGTCCACTCTGTAAAAGAGCGCAAGAATCCGTGTTATCTTTTCACAAGTGCCAGTTCAAGTGGCGGAGCTTGACAAGAATATATGGGGGGCCAAAAAAATAGGTTTGCCACAATTCAAGCAACTGATAGTAACTACGATCAGTAGAGCAAATATGTGGTGCAAGCAACAAAAAATCCCCAATTAGATGAAATGAATAGGCATACTGATTTTTAAGTTATTAATCAAACTCATACAAGGAAATAACAAGAAATTCTAAATTTTGCTATCCAAATTGACTCGCACAGCTGGTTCATGGTTGGAGCAGGGAGCAGCCATGTACGAGCGGGGTTGGGGAATAGGAACAGAGGCG